TCCCTTTTGAGGCTAATTTGCAAACCCAGCAACTCCCTACTTGCACAAGGGCACCCCGGAAGGCATCAGATACATAACTACCATCCAAGCAGTGCTGGGGAGTCTGAGCTAAAGAAAAGCCTCTGATGTGCAGCCTGGCGGGGTATATAGGTCTCTAATTTATTCATCCATCCTTCAGAAAATGACTGTGGTCAAATATGAGACACGTAACCATTTTTAGGACACAGTGCTCAATGCTGTGTTTAGTTCTTTGTGTCAAATTTTTGCACTATTGACCCATTTCCGCTAAAATCCATTGGTCTCCCTATTTTCAGATTGCTGTTAGCAGAACAGTGTTTTGTGATTAAAAAGGTATTTTAATACGCTTTATATTAGGGGGAGTGTACCAAGATAGCCTTGATGCATAAACTTTACCATGCAACATGGCATCCTGAAGCATTTAAATGCTTTGCAGCACAATTCAATACTTGTTGTGGAGTGCCCTTCAAAGCTGGTATCGGAAGAAGTCTCCTAACAAGTCAGCTGTAAATTACAGAGCAAAGGTGGGAAGTCAAGATGAAAAAAAGGGAATCGTCCAAGGGAGGAGACTAGAGATCTTCACATACAGCAGCAAAAAGATTAAAAAAAAGCAAGGCTGCTGCTAATATTGTAAGTAGCCATGCATCAGTTCATTAAGCTGGCTGGCAGTCAATGGGCCATTTTGGGTGGAGAGAAGACCAAGGACAGAAATGGGAGGCCTGAGAGGAAGGTATAACAGCTCAGTAATAGTGAAGAAAGGTGTTATGGCACTTAGGGCTCTGGGACAGAGGAGACGCTGGATGCCAGTGGCTCATGAAGGCCGGGGCGGCTCCCGGAATAGTCAGACCTGCAGGCTTTGGCCATCCCGTGGAAGGTGCAGCTGTGGTTAAACAGGGGATCGGAAGGGAGCGAGGTAGATCCTGAGTGATGGGAAACAAGTTTCTGCGGCAGCAGATCTGTCTTGCAGCTCCCTTCAGGGAAATGACAAATGTTATGTGTGTTTCGTTCATGCCGAGATATATTGAGAAGACAGGAGTTTTTTTTTATTTTTGGCTGGGATGAATATGACGTACCTGCAGGGTTTTCTTTCTCCCATTTAAGGCTGGATCAGGGGTTTCTGCATACTGTGAGATGACGAGGGGAGTGGTGTGGGTGGTGTGAGTGGCCATATGCCTGTGCATAACCTCCTTGGTCATCACTAATTCAGCAGGCTTCTCTCATATTGTGTCAGGCTGGCATCAGGTGTCCCAGACTTCACATACCAACTGCTTTCTTTTGTCTGGCTGACACAGAGAGCACCTGGGACTGTCGCAAGGGCATTCCCAGTGCAGGACATTTGCCTTTTTAGCATCTGCTGGCCATGGGACTACAGTGTCGTCTTAATCCTCCCTGGGTGTGTAATTCCAGAGGAGGAGTCAGGCTGAGGATAGGATGCTCCATGGAGGCAGCACAGCCCTCCATGGCACCCTGTCTGGTTACTTGCACTTAAGGACCAGCACAGAGACCAAATTTGGCTCAAGTAGAGGAAAAGGAGGCAGCTGCATGGGGTCAACACATTTGGCAAGAGCATAAAGGCAGGACAAGTGGCTATAGTACTTACCCTAATACTCTCCCTGGCACCGAATACATCCAGCTAAGAAAATTCCTCAGCTGCACGTGGCTTCTCTGTTACTTGATAGATTTTCCTTTCATTAACTTCCCCAGTCTCTCCTTGAATACACGTGGACTTTCATCAGCATCCTCTGGCAAGAGGCCCCACCGTTCAACTACTGCTCGTTGTGTAAAGAGTTACTTGTGAGCTTGGTTTGTCTGCGCCTTCCTCTGATTAACCCGGGCTGTTGTCCCTTAACTCTTGTATTTTAAGAGAGAGGCTGTGCCCACCCCATGGACATGATGCCCTGCGAATGCAGGAGGTTGTGCAGAAGGGAGCACCTGGATTCGGCCCTAGTTTCAGCATATTTTAACCAAAACATTTTGAAATTCTTTAGCTGCCAGAGGTATTCGCAACTTTATCGGCTGTTGGAAGGAAAGTGCCATTTTGAGCCCCAAGCTGGGGCAGGTGAGAGGAGGAGAGGACCATTACAGCCATTAAATTTTAAGGCACTTTGAGATAATGTGCAGTGTTCACAGAGCCCACTGCAGCCTGTGCAAAGCTTGGAGCTCCTGGCCTGGCAGAGGGTCTGTCCTGTAAAACCTCTCTTCCAGGTGCTGGGTCCAGTCAGGCATGGAGACTGGCAGGGGAAAAGGCTTGTGTCCTCCCGTTTTCCTCTCTGTGTTCCCCCCTACGCCGTCTGGCATCGGATGTACCAGCTGCTTGTGCTCACACTGCCTGTTATTTTTCTCAGGTAACACCAACAGCATCTTTGCACTGGACTACATCAGTGGAGCTTTAACCCTGAATGGGCCGCTGGACCGAGAAAACCCCTTCTATACCTCTGGATTTGTCCTCACAGTGAAGGTAAGAGCTCCTCCATCCAGGAGACACACCACCAGAGCAGGACGGGGAGGGCACTCTGACTGGGGACAACTCCTTTGAGGTGGAGGCGCAAACCTGGGACATGTTGCTCCTGTGGGCATCCAGAGCTGTGATGTGCTGTTCCCTAGCCAAACCAAGCAAAATGTTTAACACAGCCCCCTTGTAGGGTGGCCCAAAATGTGGTTGCCTCTAGATGGACATATATTGTCATTTTTGGGTGCCCTGTCTGGCTTCCAACTAGATCTCCCTGTCGTCGTATCTGCTGGCAACATCCTTGATGCCCTGGGGTCCTAAATAGCAAGAGACACTTACAGGCACATGAATTCTGCCCACTTGTGCCAATTTCCCATCTTTCCCCCCCAAAACTCTGGCAAAACAGGAACTTTTTGTCATGTCAGCAGGCAGTGGTATAACAGGGCATCATCTGCATCTGCCTGGCACAGGGCGGGAGAGATGCTGAAAGTTGCCTCGTCAAGAAAAGGCACTGGCGCATGGTCTTCCAGCCCCACCAGCCCCACCTGAGAGCAGCTCCCCAGCTCCACTCGCAGCCCTGTAACTAAAATCAATATCAAGCTGGGCAGCTGGTTGGAAACACATTTAGAAGTATAGATTCTGCTGGGCCAGTGTGGGGAAAAATCAGCATTGTAGGAAGGGTCATTGATTGGGAGGGCGGCAGCCAGTGCATCACCTTCTCATTTTGGCCAGTGCAATGCTTTGTCGGGGGTGAAAGGGACAAGAAATTACCCCTCTTGGTCCCAGGCACAGGTTGTACTATGGGGCTTATGCACGGGAAATAGATCCGCATCCATCCCTAGTATCTCTTGGTTTGGGCTTTTAGTTTAAATTCAGTAGAAATCAAGAGAGGGAGGATAGTCTGTTTTTAATTGGGACAAAAATATCTGTTTAATCTTGGAAAGGTTTGTGAACCTGAAAACTTGCCCGTTTTCCTGCCTGCATGGTAATGGACTTCCAACTATATTCTGTTGATCCAACAGATTTTTGTTTCCTCTCCCCACAAACTTTGCATCCTCCTGCAAATGCCAGCTCTCTGTGTCCCGCATCCCCAGGACCCAAAATGTTCTCTACTGCTCTCATCCTGGAGCACGCAGTGAAAATACAGCTGGATTGCTCCTTGTTCGAATCAGCCTGTTCTGCTGTTGTGTGCAGAAGCGGTGAATAGCAATGAGCCATGTGGGTCGCGTTAGCACTGGTTTTCTGTGCCCACAGCAAAGCAAGATTATCCAAAAGACAAGAGAAGGGACTCTGCTTGAAAAGGCTGTTTCACAAGTCTTGCTTCTCTGACAATAAAATCTGCACTTTTTCCTTTTGGGAAAGCAAAATTAAAGTCTTCCTTGAGACAGAGGTGCGATATGGAGTCATGACTCATCTCTGTATTTAGATACACATTGCCAAATGTATTTTAAGATCTAAATCTTGTTTTCCTCTGCTGCCCTAGTTTTCTGTCCCTTCGGTAGTACTACGGTGGTTAGCTCCCTGCTTCTGGTCCCACCTCAGGGGATGGCAGAGCAGAAAACAAGAGTGATCTTTGCTCCATCGTGGCTTCCCTTATTTTGAGGACTGTCCCCCACATCCCACAAGGCAATGTTTTAGTTTAAAGGCTTGTGGCAGAGAAATCACCTACTCATCCCCTAGCATGACTCCGAGTCCTGACAACCCGTTGCATGATAGGGGCAGGTGAGAACTTGGCCACAGCCATCCCAAGGGAAATGTGAAACCGCTGGAAAAGTTTGCAAGAGCGCTGTGGGTCTGAAGCAAGGGTAATAGAAGAGCTGGGTCAACATCTGTGTGTATTAACAGCTCAGCAGCGTGAAAAGGTGCCCAAGGTTAAGGGGCAGTGGCAGAACCAAATGAGCAACCTTCCTTGGCAAGGTGGAGGAAGCAAAGGCTGCAAGAGTCTCTAATCATGGCATCCGTGCTTTCTTTTACATTTATTCTTTGAAAAATACAGGCTGCCCTGTTGTTTTCTGTCCTTGCAGGGGACAGAACTGAATGATGACCGCACGCCCTCCAATGCCACTGTCATCACCACCTTCAACATCCTAGTCATTGACATCAATGACAACGCACCCGAGTTCAACAGCTCAGGGTACAGCGTGGCCATCCCGGAGCTGGCCCAGGTGGGCTTTGCCCTTCCCCTCTTCATCCAGGTGCAGGACAAAGATGAGGTAAGCTATCCCCTGCCACGGGCGCATCTGTCCATCCTTTGTAGGGTAGCATTGGTATGGTTTTGGGGGTGCAGGAAGGGATAAGTCTCCAATTGACCTGTGATGAGGTGCATGGCTACGTGCTGATAGCCATTTTTTCAGCTCTTACTGCTGCCCTTGCTCCACTTGCTTGGTCCCCAGAGCACAGGCGTGGCGTGTGCTTTAGCGCAGTGAGGATTGCATGCCACTGAGAGCCAGAAAATGGGATTGTGCGGGATGCTCATTCTTGCCTGCTTCCAATGGCACTTTTTGGGCAGTCCTTTGCCAGTCTATTTTAGAAAGGGAGGAGGTTTTATGCTGGGCTCCCAGGGGACCTGCCAGGGAGGGAAGGAGAGGACCTGTGGGCTCTCTGCCCCGGTGGGGACAGGTACTCCTGCTGTCAGGGAGGAGGCAAGAGATACCCGCTAGCGTGGGGCTGGAGGAAATGTGATGGGGACTGGAATACCAGTTCATCACTGCAAACGAGCTGGGAGCGTTGGAGGCTTGTTCCTCCCTTGTGTTAAAGGAGCTCCTATTTGTTACGCACCGGTCTATGCCATGTAGGGATTGCAGCATGTTTTCCAGCCTTGGGCTTGAAGCCTTCAGTTACTCTGATCATTTGACTTGTGCAGTTCACGTTTGGCTGCTTCTGTGTGCTGGTACCCGCCAACCTCGCCACACTGTGTGGTGTCTGCTTCAAACAAGTGCTGACACCTCATGGTGAACTTTCCAAAGTCCCTCGGAAAGGCTCTGGCTACAGGCTCGTGCCATCCATGTTCCTCTTCAGGGTGAGTGAGATACAAGGGGAGAGAGTTTGTCAGAATAAATGGCATCATCAGGCTGTTTTCCTGATGCTTCAGGTAAACGATGTGATAGCACCGAGGAATACGAAATGGAACATCTCCCCTTGCCCCCCAAGATTGCAGTGGGTCAATTAAAATGTGCATCTTCTAAGGTGCCTTTGCTGGCTGAAATGATGGATTTGCTTCTCCCCAGCCCTGGGTGACGTTCATTGAGTCTTCTAAAGGCACCCAGAAATCCCATTTTTTCATGTGAAGTGATTATGACACAGAACTAATAATCTACTTGTGACATGATGTCACCACCCGAGAGTTATGAGTTCAGCCTGAAGAGGTGCAGATGAGCTATTAAGCAGATAAAGAGATTGTTTTTTCTTGAAAATGTCAATTGCTAATAAAGAAGATATGGATATGACAGATGCTTAGGGTAGTTTCTGAATAGAGCCGCTGTTGTGCTTTCTGAGAGATGTCAGCAGATCTGTTCTTGAAGGGCATTGTAGCACTTCTGTTTGTGCCAGAAGGATGAAGGATCTGTCATTATTTCTGGTTAAAATCTGATTTTACTGGAGTGACTCCCATTCAAGAATTCACTTCTCAGCCTTGCTAATTTTAAAATGGGAGAATAAAAAATAGCCTTGGCTTCCCGATTGTGCCAGCAAAAAATAGACTTATTCTTTTGGTGTATTCCTTTAACTTCCTGAGATTTCCCCAAAAGAATTGGGTGAGATTTTTAAAACTGCTGAGAGATGACCTCTTCCGTTAAGGGAGACTGAAGGACTTTTACTGTATGTGTCTTTGGAGACCATCATATTAGCATGGATTGCTTTGACCGTAGCATTTTTTTCACTGATAAGAAACGCAGGAGAACTGATGGCTTGCAGTATCTGGAGGGAGGAAAGTTATAAGCAATTTGGGGGTATTTTTTCTGCATTATCCTGCAGTGGATCTTTCTTATTTCCCCTCATGGATGCTTGCAACCGGATTAACCATCAAGGTAGTACTCTGGGGGGAAAAAAATGGGGAGAGGATACCCAGGTAATGAAAAAGATGTATATGAGATAGAAGTGGGACTACGTCTGCAGCCAGGCTTGTTCTAGCACTGCTTCCCAGGCAGTATATTTACAGAAGTCCCAAGATCCCAAAACTTGCAGTGAAAAACTTACTGAAAGGGAAGATAGTTGCCAGGCTTTTACAAACCATCTGGATTTGAGGTAGCTGAGATGGCACCAGGTTCTCTTGGCTCTCTGTGGGTGGAGGGATGGGACGGTGAGGACCGAGGTCTTCAGGCAGGAATGTGACTGAGGACGTGGCTGACAGAAGCTATTTTCCCAGCACGGCCTTCATGCTGGAGATGGCAGGATTCATTTGTGTAAGGGGCAAAGGAAAACAAGAAGAGAATTATACGTGTCTCCAGGGAGAGCAGCTAAATAAATAAATGAGAGCAAACGGATAGAGACATGAAATCAAAGTTTGAGTCTTCAGGAAGATCATTTTGCTCAAGTTTTGTCTCCTGCCTCCCAACCTATGTCATTCAGTCCTGGGAGAGCCCCTTGGCAAGTTGAGTTCTTTCTTGAGCCAAGCTATCCAGCCTTGTTCTGGCCCCTCCAGCAAATTTTTATACTGTTCCTTCAGCCCTCATACTTGTTGAGGTCCTACTTGGATGGAGCAGCCCACGCCTGAATCTTGCCCCGCGCGGGGGTCCCATGGGGTTGGGTGGCTTGGGGGAACCTGCCTGCCATCACACCCTGGTTGTGTCTTTGTAGAGCTGGGGAAAGGCATGTCACATGGGTCTGGCCTTTAAAACACACTGTGTGGGCTGCCAAGGCTGTTAAACAAGAAGGTGTTTTGTAACCAGGCCCACGCGCCTTTTTAAATGGTGGGGTTTTGGTCTTCCTTTCTTCTGGTGTGTTTTACACAAATGATTGCTTTTTGAAAAAGCTAGATTAAATGATTCAGCAAAGCACTTAAAAACATATTTACGCTGCATACAAGACCGCACTTGAAAGCATGTTCTCGAATTTACCTCTGTGTTTAAGTGCCTTTCTGGAGCTAGGCTGGCATTAATGTCTCAGACAAGGTACCTAAGCAGGGTGCCTCCAAGGAGAAACCTGTTCCTCTGAGTCTGTCCCTTGCAAACTCCCAGCTGCTGTCCCTCAAAAGTGGTCATGGTCTTGCTCCAAGAGGAGCTGGCTGGTGGTGTGAGGTAGGACAGGGAGCATCTCAGGAGGATGCACCTGGGTTGAGCTGAGATGACCCCAGATGTGGATTTGGCGTGCAGCCAAGAGATGTTCAAATGGATGTGCTGGCTTTTCTTTTTGCATTCTCTACGGCTTATCAAAAACTCTGCAACACAGGAGAAATAGGTGCACAGGCTTTACACAGGGTTTTGGACCCAGTCTTCTGTGAGCCAAGAAAAAAGCATTAATCTCTGTGTGGCTGAGTTTCTCTCTGCCGAATAAGCAGCAAACCACTTGAATACCTTTCCAAAGCTATTTGAGAGCTGATTATGAAAATCTGTGAAAGTTTCCCAGTGTTTAGACTGAGCCTGTACTGAAGTGGACACCATAGAAGATTGGTATGTGTATTGATACACACTCCCAGGCTGGGGTTGGGTTCTCTCACTCATGTTGCAATAGATAAGCAGGGATGAATAAATCCTGTGTAGAAGACAGAAGATTAAAGCCTTGAATTATCCACTTTTGCAGCAAGGTTTGTTTCTAGGTTGAGAGCAAGAGCCCTGAGCTGTGGAATAAGTTTGCGTTAATTCGGAGGGCTGGTTAGCTCAGGCTCATCTGCTCCAAGGCTGGCTGAGGTGGGGGACATGGATATTCTTTCTGGATAAGCTGGTATTTACAGCCGGGTGGCTTGATGCACTATTTTAAGGAGAAGGCAAGGGTTTGGCTGTGCAGGAAAAGCAGCAGGGCATCCTTCAGGGCATCCCCCATTTGAGCTTCCTGTCGCTGCCAGATCCGCAGAGGTGTATTAAGAGAAACAGCAGCATACTTTCCCGGGGCGTGCCAGAGAAGCCAGCTCTTCTGCCGTGGCTTTCACTTGATTTTCCTTGACGCGGTTGACTGAAGAGGAAGAAAAGGGCACAGGCTGTATAAAGTACAAGTATGATGGGCTGACATTTTAAAATAATTTTGAAACAATTCTCCAAAATAAGCATATTGATGAAGATAAATGGAGAATTAAAAAAAAAAAAATCCAGCCATGGCAATAAACGGTATTTGTTGCATAAAACTACACCAGAGACTCTCATAGGGATATTGCATGTGCCCATGCGTGTGCAGGTGCAATGTATGAATCATCCATAGCGTATATATGCATATGACAGACACATGCACTATAAATATGATCTACACAGCAAGAAACTGTAAAGGGGAATTGACGGCACTCAAGTATTCTCTCCCAAAAGTGCCAGCTGCCAGTCGGGCTGAATTAGATTTCACAGGGGTTTTTGCAATACATGGAATTCACCAGCAAATTACCCTTAAAGAGGGAAAATCAATCATTTGGAGCAGAGATAAGCTGAAGGCGAGGCAGCCTCAGATTGATCCCGCCTGCACAGACGGGAATTCAGCAGATAACCTGGGGAGAGGGAGAAAACTCCTCCGGGAGGGGGGCAGTGGGCAAGGACTGCCACTTAGGACGGACAGAAAGATGGGAGAAACGGGCTGCGGTGTGGGGAGGAGGGTTGGAAAGGCTGGGCAACATTTTGCTCCAGGCGTCCTGCATCACCCGTGACCTTAGTGAGGTCCTTAGGGATGCAGGGGACAAGCGCCCATGGCCAGTGAGCCCTTGAACGGGTCATTGATGCTGTCCTGCTTGGGTGCTGGGTGAGCAACGGGTGCTGGGAGAAAGCAGTGGGTGCTGGGAGCCTGAGCTGGCTGGCTGGGCAGCGGGAGAGAGGCAGGCAACTCTGGAGGGGCTATTGAGAGCACTTGAGTTAAATGCCTTGAAGTAGGTGGAGAGAATAACCCTCTTTATGCCTTGTGTTTTCAAAGGAAGGATTAAGCATTATTTGTCTCTGACTAGCTAGAACCAGGCATAAGTTATCCAAGTCATACAAAGAGGCATTAATTGCTTTTAAAAAAAAAAACACCCTCTTTTTTTTTCTCTTCCTCCTCCACCACTCCTGGACTCTTAGTACTTTCCTTTCTTTGCAAACTTGCCAGAATGAGGGATATTAAACACTCCTTGGCTTTTTGTAGATAATAGCCCATGCCTAGAAAGTGTCTGGGAGGAAAGCTGGAGTTATGCTGGATTTTGTACTTCAGAAAGGCAGGGCTCTCCATTTCAGAAAAGCAAGCTGCAGCTGAGCTAGGGGAGAGGGAATCGAAGGGAGCACTGTACCAAGTCAGCATAAAGAGAAGAAAACTGAGGATCCCAGGCTGCTTTTCCCAAATGTAGCTCACTTTGTGCTGAAAAGGATTGCAAGCCACCAGTCTACCTTGGCACCTCAGTGATTTCAGAGTGTGGTGTGGTGGAGGAAGGGTTGTTTGCTTGTCTAGCAGTTTGGGTTATTTTTGTTTTACTGTAAGTTTTTGTGCAGCCATTGATAAGTGATGCTGGATGCTGGCTTTGACTGGTGGAAGGCTGAATAATTTCGGAAGCATTTCCATTTGCACTCCCCTGAGGAAGGGGCTGGGTGAGAGCAGGAGTGATGAAGCCAGTGGGTGAAAAAGCAGGGATAAAGCTTATGATCCATCCTTCATCAAACCTGGGACAGCTGATGTGGCTGCTCCTGCCCTCCTGAGGTGAGAAGGGGTTCTGTGATTCATGGTAAACCCTGCACTGTGACCACGCCTTGCAGGTTGGGACAGCAGACTTTTGGCTGTGATTCATAGCAGATGCCTGAGCAGGTCCCACATGGTGCCTGGGACCTCTGGAGGGACACAGACACCCACCTCCTGCCACCTCACAGCCTCACGCCTGAGCTTCTGCCCTTACCTGCCAGCCCATGCTGTGTTAGCTGTGCCCAGGGACGGCCTCCCCTCTGCTCCGGCCCTCTGAAATATGAAGATGGGGACTGCACATGTGGGGCGGGCAAACTGGTCCATTACAAGTTGGTCAAACATGAAGCATTTGTGGTAGATCAGTCAGCGGTTGCTTTTTTGGAAGTCAGGTATTGGCATGAGGTTGCTGCTGGTGTTGTGGCAGCAGAGACACGATGAGACTCCTATTACACGCTCCAAGGAATATGTACGCAAAGAACAAAGTAATAATTATGCCCAACTGCAGCTATGATTGTCTTTTAGCTGAATCGACATGAAATTTCCATCAGTTGCGGCGCCAGCTACGGCTGGGAGGAGGTTTGATTGCCAGGAAGGAGGCAGCGGGCAGCAGCCTCGAGCCACGGCGAGTGCTGGCCCCATACGCTGGCACGGGATGAGATGAGCTGGGAAATGCGTGGCCGTGTCCCGGCTTTGTGCAATAGCGAACTTCCCTCCAAAGCCCATTTCTTTATGGCTCAATTTGTTTCAGATGGAGGGTGCATGCAGACTGGTTTATTATTGTAGGGTTGCTAAGCTTTGGCAGGCTGCTTTTTAATTTACGTCTCTGAAGGAAGGCAATGGACCAGTTTATTTTCAGTGGTGGGAAAAACCTCGAGCAGTACAGGCGCTGGTGGGTAAGGGGTTGGAGGGAGGAAACGAGCAGGTAAATTAGGTCGTGCACCGATAGCACGCCAGTGCATCCCATGCTTATCCTCAGCACTGAAAGAGCTAATGCTGCCGGAGCTGGCTCAGCTGTGATCCCATCACTGCACGCTAGGACCTTTGCAAGCCCAGGGAGATGGTGCTTGTTGTTCCTCTTCACGCACATGTTTCAGATCCGTTGTTTGCTGTGGGTGGCAGGAGCAGGTAGGAAGGGGTGAGGAAAATGTAAGCAGCTCCCCGTGGCTTCCTCCAGAGTGGGGGTACTAACTGTGAGCCAGGCTGAGCCAGCCCCTTCTGCTGGGCAGCTGATAACAATTTCAATATTCAGATTTGCTTTCAGCCATCCGCAGGGGGCTCACAGGCTCCGGGAACCAGGAGCAAGGAAAGCAGCATGGGGGCAGAAACAAAAAAATAAATAGCCGAATAAATACATAAATGGCAACTCACAGCAGCCCTCCTGAGAGGCAGATGTATTCCCCTTCTCCAGACCTCACATGGGGAGACTAAGGCACTCGAGGGGCTGCTAATTAGGGATGGTGGGTATCTAGAGACTGATCTCCTTCCCCAGCTGGAGAGGAATTAATCCACCCAGCTCTCTTCCTGCAAATACTTGGGTTTCTTTTGATGTTTCAACTTCTATCTCATGCTTCCAACAAACTCACTCCTCTCTAGCTTCCAAGAAAATCACTCACAACTCACCTCCACGAAAGGCACTTTCGTGTACTGCACGGAGGGCACCAGGCCCTGGGAGAGACACCAAGGGCTCGGCAGCAGAGCTGGGCAGAAAATCCTCAATGAAATGGCTTTTTGTCACTGATGGAAAATGGTCATTTGTTATAAATTGACATCTTAAGGATAGGATACAAAATAACAGCTTGGGAAGTGATGCTTCCTCCTGCCACTGTCTGTATCCTCTGATCCCTCCCTCCCAGGCTGTGTGGGCGAGCATCCTGAGCACCCTCACTAGTACCAGGGTTGACACTTGCCCTGTTTGCCAGCAAAGCAGCTTTTGGAAGGAGCTGCATCTGCCCTGAGATGGGTCCCTTTTGCTCCATCTGTAGGGATGCTCACTCCCTGTTGTCCACCAGTTGAGCGTTGCTGGGTTCCTGGGATGGTGGGTGCCCTCGAGGCTTGCTCATGTGGCTCCGTGGCTGCCCGTGGGGTTTGCTCCTGCCTTTTATGCTTCATTCTCCACAACGTGGCTCTGCTGGAGATGCTCAGCTTGCCCCCTGCTCCGCCAGCTGCCGGTGGGGTGCGGGGAGGAGGAGGGCAAGCAGGGATTCTGCTCGTGTCACCAGCTCTCGGCAGTCACGCTTAGCCAGCTTTTGCTATTAGTGCCCCTTCGTGCATTTAATTGGTCCCTTTTTCTGATAGGAGGGAGGTCATTTGGGGAAAATGGGAAATTCAGCTCTAGCAGCTTCTGAGTTGCTTTTCATGTGCTCTGCTGGGCCGTGCTTTGGGAAGGGGTGCCGTGCCCGGAGCGAGGGTCCTGAAATGCTGCTGTCAGTATGTCAGTGGTCCTGCTGCTTCGCTGGCTAGGTCTCGGGAGATGAGGAGTTTTCCAGTTCCCATTCTGAGCTGTCTTACTGGAAAGAGCTCTCTGCTTGGGAGAGGCACCCATGCTGTGCGCCCCAGCTCGAGGCGATGAAATCCCAGCGCATGATGCCCTGTGCAGTGTATGGATCTCAAAACAGTAAAAGGGATTTTTCCACCAGCCGTGTCGTGTGCAGGTTTATCGCAGGGATGCATTCCTTTCCAGTGCACATAGACTTTGTATAAACTGGGTGCACATGAAAAGAATATTTATAGAAATCATATGCATTTTTACACCCAGTAGGTGTAATAAAATACAACAAAGAGTTCTTAAGGTTGGTGCCAAGCCCTATGACTCAGTTAACCAAACCCAAGCAGAGAAACAGTCTCCTGTGTCTCTGGTAATTGCATTTTTACACGTCTGAAGGTGAAGGGCTGTGCCCAAGCTGCTGTTGCTGGCAGGTTTTCGTCCCATGCACAAGCGTTGCAGTCAGGCCGGTGCTTCTGCCCCAGGCTAGCCCTGGGTGCCTGCAGCCTTACCTCGTGGCTGCGCCAGGGCCTTCCTCCTTTGTCACTGTCCACCTTCCTCTCTCCCTTCCCAGGGACCCAACAGTGTTTTCGAGGTTTACCTGGTGGGCAACAACTCCAACCACTTCATCATCTCGCCGACATCCATCCAGGGGAAGGCAGACATCCGCGTCCGTGTGGCAGTGCCGCTGGACTTTGAGACCATTCCTCGCTACGAATTCTCGGTAGGGCTGCACCCCTGTGCTCTATGGGATGTCCATGTTTTTAGGAGTGACCTAAGAGTGACCGTTAACCAGGCTTCTCTCTTCCTCTCACTAATCCACACTATGAAGCTCTGGAGCATTACAAAATGGACAAAAAATTGAACTAATAATAAAGAAAAGGAGGAGGTGAGGAAGAGATTTTCTCTGCACCTTCTCTCCCTTTCCAGCATCCAAAGGCTCAGCTGCAAGAGCTTAAGCAAAGCATGTTCCCCTTGCTGTGTCACAGGGCCCTAAAAGCTTTATAGAGCATAAAGCTTTGTTTTAAGTGCACCTATCAGGCACCAAAGCTCTTACCAGCCTCCTGCTCCAGCTTTGTCCCACTCTGCCTGAGCTGTAAATTTGCAAGGAAGGCAAAGCAGGCTCATACCATGCGGGCAGTGTTAACCCTGGCAGAGGGACTTTCATACACTGGTGGAGAAAGATGAACAAAATCCTTCCTACCCTTGCTCCAGGCTGCATAGATGTGGCAGGTCCTGGTTTCCCAGTTTGCCAGGCAGAGGCTGGAGCTGTTTGGGGCAGGTGGTGCAGGGTGTTTGGCTCACTCGAGGGCTGAGGTCAGCCAGAGCTGGGGGAGAAGGAAGGGGCTTTTTGTTTTTTTTTTTTTTTTTTTGAGCATCCATGCTTTGATGATTAGCACTGAGCTGGCTCATCTGGTAAGGGAGGTCAGGAGAGCATCGTTTTCTCAATTAAAGAAGAATGGATAACTGTCCTAAGCTTCGCAAAGTGCCTCCAATCCTCCCCTTTGCTTCCTGTCTCTGCCCAGCTCTTTGCAAACGAGAGCGTTCCTGACCATGTTGGCTTTGCCCGTGTGAAGATTAACCTCATCAACGAGAATGACAACCGCCCCATTTTCAGCAAGGCCCTGTACAATGTCAGCCTCTTCGAGAATGCCACCGTGGGCACCACCGTCCTCCAGGTCCACGTGAGTAGGAGCATCCTGCCTCTCTTTGCCAAGTCCTTGGCTCAGCAGTGCTTGTCACCAAGGGATGGGTTGGGGAGCCTGGTAAGGGAGCAGTGGGAGAGGATGCCACTGGGGTGTAGCCCTCCCGTGGGCTTTTGGAGCAGATGCCTTGGCATCTCTGAGAGACGTGTGTGTGCTTCCCACCACACCTGGAGCTAAAGGAGAGTCCTGCACTGACAGGTCTCATCCGCAGACAATGGCTTGTGCTACAGATACCAATCCCAATGGTCAGGGTCTTGTCTCTACCTCCTCCTCACCGCATGGGCTCCACCAAGTTATTTCAGCTGTGTACATGACTTGTGTCCCATCACATATTTCTTGCCTCTCTCTTACATTAATTCTTACGGGAAAAGATGCTCTGGTGCCTAATGAACTTGGTCACTTCATCAGTGAGAATGAATGCCCAACATTTATCTTTAAGTCTGGGTTTTCTCAATGCCCGATTTCAAAGCACCATCTTCCTCGACATAATTGAAGTCAATTGATCCAATTAAAAGATGAAGCATGGAAAAAGAGGGGGAATGACTGTATTTAGCAGAGCTTGGTATTAAATGGCTGGCAGCAGAACAGTGGTGCAGCAGACAGGTGGTGATGATAGTGGAGCATTTCCGTAGGGCTCGTCCATCCCACCTGGGCTGGTGGGAGCACTGAAAATCCCTGGCGAGAAGACACGTTTCCCAGGGCATGAGGGTGATGTCAGCTGATGTCACTGCCAGTGTGGGGCACAGCAAGAGCCAGAACAAAACCCTGCACTGAAAAACGATCAAAATAGGAAGCAAAGCTCCTCTGGGACAGGAAATATCAAAGGAGGGAGCATCAAAACTCCTGGCAGGCTTTGGGTGCATTACTACTGCTATTGTTAGTCGTAGATGAATTTGCTGCCCTCCCAGCCTCTCCCTTGCCCCCCCTCTTCAGGGGCTGTGTCCCGGGTCACCCATCCGCGCAGGCATGTCGATGCAGAGAATAAAAGCCCTGACAAAGGGGTTGGGTGTATGCGCCTGTGTGTAAGTGTGGTTACTCTACAAACAGATGGTGTGAAACTGTATAGAGCCCCTGAGCTGTTCCCATCTGACAGTTATTAATATTTCAAGCAGATGTTTAGCTAGTCAGGCCGTCAGACACTAAACAATGAGATTGTTACTGCGTCTTCTCTTTCCCCAACTTCCAGCTATGCCAGCATTTCGGAGCAAACGCAAAATGCCAGGAGTTGAATCTTCTATGATAAATCAGAATGGATGCAATTAGCACTGAAATCCAGATTGCCCTCCCAGCTGATCCCAAACTTTTAACAACCCTCATAAAGTACCAGCTCCTCCTGCTGCTGCCGCTCACCTTTGAGATGCAGCCCTCTGCTCGCTTCCACGGCACTGCCCGTCTGCACTGTGCCTCTCCAAATGTCCCATGTGCCACAGACATAAAGTCTGCTTTCCTTGCTGATAAGTTCCTCCTTTTCTTTTTTCCTTTCTTTTCCACTTGCCTGGGAGTGCTTCACTAGTATTCACCTGTAGAGGCTAGGGATGGGTTCTTGCAGAAATACTGGCCAGCCGCATGTAGTGGCCACTGAATGATGTCCTCGTGAAAAGGGACTTTTGTTGGCTCCCCCTGCTCAGTGCTGCAAAATGCCCTTTTGTGCAAATAAGTGCAGGTTTTGCAAGTGGCTGGAAAGCTGACACACTGAAACTGAGTTCCCCTGCTCAGTGGCAGCGTGGAGCACCCTCAAGTGGCTCTGTCCTGCAGCAAAGATGCCACCACCCATTAGAGTTGTGTTTCCAAGAGAAGCTGGAAGGCTGTGCATTTGGAGGAGCGATGGTTTTCAAAGGTGCTAAGGGCAAATCAGGAGGTTTATGAGATTGGGACGAACAGGGGAATGCATGGGCTGGGCAAGCAGTCACTGCAGGGTCGCCAGTTGCTTCCCACCAGCCGTTGCTGGAGATGGCCAAGTACAGCTGGCAGGGCAGAGCCATGCCTACAGCTCCTTCCCGGCAGGGAGGTGAGCAGGTAAAACCACAGGGGCCAAGGCAATGGAAGATTGCTGACCTTCTGCCCAGCCTAACATCCTGGGGAAGGAGGAGAAGAAGACTTTGGGCTGGTTGCCCATCTTCCAGCAACTCTTCCCTCCTTGCCCTCCTTGGCTGTGCGTGGTCGGTGGGTGTAGACGAGGGGAAGTGACCCTGGAATAACAATGAGCCTGCCCTGCCGAGCAAGCGCACTCCTCACTGCCGCCCTTTTCCCGCTGCCCTCTGCTTGGCCAGCTGAAAATGGAAAGGAAAAAAAAAAAAGAGCAAGTAGACTTCATTTGCAGTGACAAATGGACATTCGTGTCTGCAGCATTTCAGCTCCTAATGTCAGTGGCAGCAGAGAAACATTGCCTGTTACACATATAAATCAACTGTAAAACAACCCGAAGTACAGGCAGCCAGCAGGGACCCAGAGCTGCTGCCCCCTCCCCGCTCTAAATCTTTCCCTTTGCCCAGAGATGCTTGGGCTTGGATGTTGTGCCCCTCCGGCTTCCTGGGCAAATCTCCGTTACTTCCCTGGCGTGGCGCAGTCTTCTCTGCCTGCTGAGATTTTGTTTGTCTGCTCTTTGTTCTCTATTTTGCATTCCCTCAGTCTCCCTCTCTGTCCGTTCATCCGTCCATCCATCTGTGTAATTCTATCCACGAAAGGCATTTTTCATATAGATTCAGGTAGTGATTTGCTTGCATGAGAACATCTGGAGAGCCCAGGCTTCATGGGAACAGCTCCTGCCGTGTGTAGGGAGCCTGCAATACGCCCAAAGGCAGCCTTCTCTCCTTACTCCGTGTTCTTTACCCATGTGATAAGCCGCTTATGCCAGAGATTGCTTGTGTGGCGGGTTTTATGGAGACCAGCGTGAAGGGGTCCTTACTCCAGACAAAGCTTCCAGGTTGCCCTATAACATAAATCACTGCAGTTTGGAGTTGTGCGTGCATTGCAACCCAATGGCCAAGCGGAGGGGACAGCAGGCTGTCCGGGACTCTGCAGTTGTTAGTGGCCTCTCCCCATCCAGACTTCTCTTTTCCCTTGCTCTGAGCCCTGTTGTGCTGGGGAAAGCCAGGCTGGAGAGGCTCAGAGGTCACAGGAAGCGCAGCTCTTCCTGCAAGGCTTGGGTGAAGCAGGGAGGTGACTAGAGCTGAGCCTGAAGATACGGGCAAGTTTTGCCCCAGCTACCAACAGATATTGAAATATTATTTTTTTTTTCTGAAACAACTGGCCATGAAGCCTCTTAATAACATAACAGAAAAGGTCAGAGAAAGAATTTCACACTTCTTGAGCAAGCAGGCAGCCGGTATAACTTCATGCCTTCCAGGAATGAGAGGCACCGAGAGCATACACTACGCCCTAAATTAACTGGGGCTCTGACACCCCTGGCCAAGTGCAGCCTGGGCAGCCAGTGGCTTTCGATGGGTGCTGGCTTTCCTAATAGCAGGGAGCGGGCTGGAAGGTTGTACCCTGGAGAGGCACAGTGAGCAAGAGTGCTGGCTCCAGCATGGGGCAGAGGGCTTGGGGCTGTGCACAATAGGAAGCCGTGGGGAAGGACAGTGCTAGGGTGAATAAATGGCTGTTCTTCTGCCATAGCCATGATCAGTGCCTGCGGTGAGGTTAGCAAACATCTTCCAAAGCAAGTCCTGACAACAGGTTTTCTCTTGGGGTAAGAGGAGGAGGAGAGAGGAGGGTATCTCCAGCCCTTTCTCTCCCAGCTGAAAAACCCAGTAGCTGGAAGACAGGATGAGTTGTTAGACTAGAGACGTGTCCACAGATCTCAGACCAGATGGAGGATACATCCATTGCAGAGCTGGAGAAATCAATAGGCAGACGGGGGGAGAGATAAAAGGGCATGGTCCGACATCCACGCTACTATCTAACAGTATCAGTACAAACCTTGCAGGAATCGAGGTCTGGCATGAAAGGGGACATTCTCAGGGCAGATCCCCTCTGCAGGGAGAACAGCAATTGTGTGGGAGCAGGGAGTGAGGTGGGGAGCCCCAGAAGGAAAGCCCTCTGCTTTGGGATGCAGCGCTGGGCAGGGGGTGAGGTCTGGGGCTAGGGAGGAGCTGGTGGGACCAGTCCCTTAGTCTTGTCTGAGTCCAGAGACAGCAGAAGCCCTCGCATACGTGTCCCCATGCTGCTGCTACTCTCCCTCCTGCTCCAAACTGCCTCATTGCCAGCAGCAGGTTGTAGTACTGCTGCTTTGCACGTCAGGTGAGACAGGAGCAGAAAGAAGAGTCTCAGGGTCCCATGCCTGGTGTCTGTGAAGAGGACTGATGCTGGCCAGGCATCAGTCCTAGCTACTTAGGTCCCTGCTCCTTTCTTTTCCAGGCATGGAGGGTTTGAAAACAGTCCCCTGGGCTCACATCCTATTAGCTGTGGTGGGGCTGGAAATACCCCACGAGGAGCTCTTCTGTAACCTGGGGAGAGATAGAGGCATTGGCACTAGATGGAGCTTTCAGCTGGGAAACTTTGTTGGGTGGAAGAAGCTAAGAAAACATGGCCTTGCTTCTAGGGTCACCAAGACCCAGGCCAGCTTTCAGCGAGCTCCCCCCAACAGGGAGAGGAGCAGGGGGGTTCAGCCCAGCATCCCCTCCTGTCCTTTTGGTGATACGTCCTAGTGGTGATATGGCACCAGCCATGCCCCTTGCGTGCAGTGGAGGATGTTTGGCTGGGAAGAGCAGGGAAGGTGTGAGCATGTGTTTGTGCCCATCGCACTGAGCCTGTGGCATGCCCCGGTCCTGCTGCCTTGCGAGGCTGTGGGGTCTGACTGCTGTGATGGGTGGAGCGGAAAGTGCAGTGCTCGTCCAGACCTGCTTTTTGACACTGCTGCTTTGACAGCAGCTGCCGTGAGTGGGGGTCACCGTGGTGCCAGCTTCCCAAAAGTCAGGGACCCACACGGTAGCATAGGCATGTGCCTCGCTCTCTGTTGCTGATGTATTTGCTAGACCTGG